TATTGTGATTATTTATGATAATATATAATTATAAGCATTTTCATGGATGTATTTGAAGTTGGATCCACAACAGAACACATAATAGGAAAATATATGTGGGAATTTGGTTTTAAAACATACAGAATAAAATTCACACTGAGCTTTAAGAGTAGACATTGAGCCCAATTTCTGGAATAAATCAAAGAGCAGGCAGAAAACAGACAGCAGGTTCAGTTATTTTAGCAAACAAAATAAGATAAATTTACTAGGCCCATCATGGTCTGATATATGCAGATAAAAGATGCAGAGAGAAAATGTGCGACATTGATCATGAACACATTTGGATGCAAGAAAACAAGAAACAAGAAAGTGCAATTGTCCCAAATGTGAATAAACATTCAAATTATGCTGCAGCTGCAAAATTTAAACTCACGGAAGACACATTTACAAAGGAATTTATTAAATTGATGTGATTTCCTGGTTTTGTGCACCCAGTGGCTCTTTTATAAAGTAAAACGTACAATTTGTCTTGATAAGAATGACATTTCCCATTGTACTCAATCAAATAGCAAAGAGTCTTTTGTGAGATATTGTGCTTATTAAAGAGTACAGTGCTAGGGATACCCAGCAGCTCAGACATTGAATAGACAGAGTTAGTCTCCCTAATAAAATGCCTTATATGTTGAGCGTATTTTATAAAGAGAATTCCATGTGAACACAGGCTTCTTTGTAAGAAGTCATTTATTTCTAAATCTGTCCTTCCCCCTCCAACCCATGCATTCATCTATCTACCCATCCATGTATGCACCCATCCACCTATTCATCCATCCATTTATTCATTCATCTGTCTACATATCCACCCATCATCCATCACCCATCCATCCACCCACACATCTATTCATCCATCTATCCATCCATCTACCCACCTATCCATCCATCTATGTACCCATCCACCTATTCATCCATGCATCATCCATTTATCGATCCATCCATCCATCCAAAATCCACCCATCCACCCATCCATCCATCCATCCATCCACCCACTTATGCATCCACTCATCCATTCATCCATTTATTCAACAATATATTCATCCATCTATCCATCTATCCATTTATTCACCCATCCAACCATGTACCATCCAGCCAGTCATCCATTCATATACCCATTCATCTCTCCATTCACGCACTCACCCATCCATTAATTAATCTATTCATCTATGTATCCATCAACACATCCATCATCCATCCATCCATCCATCCATCCATCCATCCATCCATCCATCCATCTAGCTAGCAAACATTTAGAGTCTCCAAAGTCTGTTTTACACTAGGGAATATAAAATATATCTGGGCACTTAATTTTTAAAAATTTCTGATATCATGATATTATTTCATCCTAAGACTCAGATCCTGTCTTAGGCTAACACACCTCCCCACAATGTGAATTGCAAGGAAGCCTGTTTAATGTGATCTCTCTCTAACTCAAACTGCAACACAGGTATTACAGTGCTAGACTGAATCATTCTGTTTACAGATCAGTACTCCAATCAGGTCTCTGGACAAGCAGGGTCAACATCAGATCAGAACTTGTTAGAAATGCGAATTTTGGGGATTTACCCTATAATAATTTATGCTTGACAATCAAAAACCCACAAAATCAATTGGAGGCTTGATAAAGTAGAGACATTCCTTTCTGGATAAGAGCACTAGACCACTGGGAGGTAAAGTCAGAGTAAGAAGTAAGTTGGAAAGCTCAGAGAGGCAGGCTTCAAAAATATAAATTTGGAGTTTGGACAACAACAAATTGGTAAATCTAAGCATATGATCTGAGCTAAAACCAGACATGATCAGAGATGTTATTATAAAGACCCAAGAGTCAAGGGAAATGATGGAACAGAAACCCAGTGAGAAGTAATGCACTGTTCAAGTGAGGAAGTAGAATCTGCCATGGATCAAAGTCTCTGGGGACATTTACTCAGTTTATATTCTGTGCTTAGGATGTGATTTGTGCTGAGGAAGATTTCACTGCCAAGAAAGTTTCATTAACTCTGGGTTTGAGTCGGTCCACCTGGGTTTGAGTCTGTCCACCTGGGTTTGTGTCTGTCCACCCGGGTTTGAATCCGTCCACCCGGGTTTGAGTCCGTCTACCCGGGTTTGAGTCCGTCCACCCGGATTTGAGTCCGTCCACCCGGGTTTGAGTCCGTCCACCCGGGCTTGAGTCCATCCATCTAGGTTTGAGTCCGTCCACCCGGGTTTGAGTCCGTCCACCTGGGTTTGAGTCCGTCCAGCTGGGTTTGAGTCTGTCTACCTGGGTTTGAGTCCGTCCACCTGGGTTTGAGACTGTCTACCTGGGTTTGAGTCCGTCCACCTGGGTTTGAGTCCGTTCACCTGGGTTTGAGTCTGTCTACTCCTTTTGATATTTTTGTCTTGTCAACTTCCTTGGTTTCCTTGACCCATTCTTTCTCTTGCCGTTGATCTTTCCCTTCCATTTTATTGCTTTCACTAGAAACCTGTGTATTGCTATATGTAAATTTAGATTTGGTTGGTGTTCACTTCTTAAATATTTAATAGCTGTTCTTTAGAGTTCACTCTTCTAAGTGATTTTCTAGTCTCATCTATGGAATTTTCTAGGTTACAGCAAAACTGCGATTTTTGTTCATCTTTATTTTACTGTTTAACTTACTCATATTTAAAAAAGAGATGTAGAAAAGAAAGAAGGGGGCCTGTGAGATGATTTAGTGAGTGAGGTTACTTGCCGCTAAACCTGCCAGTCTGAGTATGGTAGAAGGAGAGAATCAACTGCCTCAAGTTATCCTTTGATCTCCACATGTGCAGTGTGTACAAACACACACACACACACACACACACACACACACACACAGAGTCACTTTAGAAAATAAATAATTTTTTCAGGGGACCATCTACCTACCTTAGGAGCTAAAGTCAGTTGTCAGGTGACCATCCACATAACATTGTTCCCAGTCATGTGTAAGTTCAGCCATGCTTTTCACATAAATAACACCACCACTCACAGAATTATTTCCAAGAAGGAAGACAATAAGTTTGTGTATATGTATCTGCACTCTTTTGTATAAGAAAAAATATCTCATGAGCACTCAACACAGGTATAGGTAAATGTTATTATATTATTTAAAGCTGTCAAAAATGTTCACTACATTTGGAATCCTATTATGAAATTTCCTAAAAATATTGTTTGCCAAGATGCATGTCTATTTTGAACATAGAAGCTTTATTGGTAAAAGAGTTAGTTCATTCTGGTTCCATGAAATTGAGACAGAACTTGGAAAACATGAAATACTTTCTTCTCAGAGCTGCTTCATTTAGGAGGAAAATGCCCTGTTTTATAATCAAATACAAGGAGGCATAACAGAAGTCTCTGGTGGGCCAATTCATGACCCATGGAACACTTGTGACTTCAACCACAACTACTGGAAATGACATCTGCATTCCTCAGCAGATTCTAAGTACCTTGACAGTGTCCACCTCCTGGACAACTGCGTGTCATTCTGCTCCCCGCCTCAGGGGGTGACAACAAAGCCTAAAACTATGGAGAAGTTCATTCTTTGGGTGGGAGACTCACAGAATAATCCTTCCGCATCACGTTTGTTTAATGTATTTTATTTTAACAAAATATTTTATGTGTATGAGTATATTGTCTGCATGTATGTAAGTGCACCCATGTCATCAATGCCCATGGAGGTCAGAAGAAGGAGGCTGATCCCTTGGCGCTGGAGTTAGAGATGGTTGTTAGTCTCCACGTGGATTCTGGGAACTTTGCACAGGTCTTCTATCTACAAGAGCAGCCAGTGCTCTTAACCACTGAGCCATCTCTCCAGCACTTTTATTTTAATTTTTGAGACAGCATTTTACTATGTAGCTCAGGCTAGACTGAAGCTTGCCATTCTCCTGCCTCAGCTTCCAAAGTGCTGAAGTCATGATCTTGTACTAGTAGGAAGGCCTGACTCTTCTTACTCTTGGTCATTGGTATCATCTTCCCAATAACCTGCCATATCCAAGTCATTGTCTTTTCTGGGTAAGTAATCCAAACAAAGACAGCTGCTTACTAATGTATTCATCATAATTACTCCCCTTCTGGTTTGATATTATGTATGCAATATATTTTACTTATCAAATTTACTTATCCTTCTTTCCCTCCTATCAGGGCCCACAACCAGAAAGGGGAACGGAGATTGCGGCACGGGCTCTGGCCTTTCCACTGCTTTTCTTGGCAGATTTAGATCATGGTGAGCATGCCAGTGTGGATAAATGAAAAATTTTACAACATAGAAAAAAAAAAACAAGGCTGGTTCTGTGCCATCTACTCTGCAATGCCATGTTTTACCTCATGTATAGGATTTTAGTCACAGATCCCTGAAAATGACATTTCCATGATATGCCATTCTAGATTAACAGGAAGAAAATCAAACATATAAACTTTATATTGATCAAATTCTGTACAAGTAACCAAGGGGTTAAAAAAGACAGACTTGGAGTTGGGCATGGTCTACCACTTGGGAGGCAGAGTCATGAGAGTCTCTGTGAGATCGAGGCCAGCCTGGCTAAGTTTCACGTCAGCTGGGGATACAAGGAGACCCTGTCTCAAAAAAGACAAAACAAAACAAAATACAGACTTAGCCAAGGATGGTGGTACACACCTTTAAAACCAGCACTTAGGAGGCAGAGGCAGGCAGATCTCTGTGAGATCAAGTTCAACCTGTTCAACATAGCAAGTTCCAGGCCAGCTGTGGCTACAGAGAGACCCTTTCTCAAAACAAACAACAAAAACCCCAAAACTCAGACCAAAACACCAAAACAACCCAACAATAAAAATCTACCACCCCCGCGACTTTAAATTCAGCAGCCTATTAATAGCTCAGGAATGACAAGGTAGAAATATTTTTGTTCAAATATATCACACTATTAAAAGAGAAATTATTTCACATAGTACATCTTAAGAGGAAGTTGAAGAACTGGGTTACGTGAGGGGAAAGAAGTTTTACCTTTGATAATCAATTTTCCATTCTTCTTACTTCCAACACAGAAAGAGATTCAAACTTCAGGTTGTTATTTTGTTAACCTGATGTCACTCTTGGTATGTGATGTTCAACTGTTCTGGAAGATAGCAAATGCAATAATTAGACATAATGACTCATTTGATACAGAGAGACACTTAGGAATAATCTCATACAAATGATACTGGCAGCCATCAAATTCAATGATGTGAGATGAAGAGTCTGTAGAAAATTTGGTTGGTGGTGCTCTGATGATATTGCACTTGGAATTTTTATGCATCTCAGAAAACAAAGCCAACCAAAAAGTAAAAAGAAATGTTATGACACATCATAAATTTGCTTGATATTCTACAAAATTCTTGTCTCTAACTATCATTTATATTCTCTTTAAAAAGCAATAAAGTAAAGCATCAAATATAGATTCATGATTTTACTCATTTCTTGCATTCTACACATTTTAGCAATACTGCAACTAATCAACTATGATGAATAAGAAGTAAAAATGGACATGATTTCCAGTATGGTCCCTTTGACCTCATAGCAGGGCCCAACATGGCACAGTATTCCCAGGTGTGTAACCCTGGACTTGTTGAGGCCTAAGCCAAACCATTCCCCTGATTATCACTGATGCCATCTTAGAAAGTGACAAAATGGAAATTATAGTTGGTGGGAGGAGGTTGCTTTAGATCCTATCACATGCAGTGATTTTGCTTTCTAAAAGTTCACATGCAAAAGGATTCATGTCAGACACAAATGATCTGGTATTGAAACGTGTTGGGGGTGAGACAATGTGAGAGATAAATGATGCTTAGCTAGTTTTGAAAACCAGAGGGAACCATATTACTCATACAACCTACTGACAAATTATATAGCAGATCAAGAAATATATGTCTAGGTAAGGTTTATCTGAGAACAACTG